GTGATCTAATGAATAAAGCTTGCCTAAAATCAGATTACAGAGCTAGCCACTAGTTAGCCATAGAGGCCAGGCTGTGGTGGTGTACACCTTAATCCCAGCACTTGGGAGTCAGAGGCAGACAGATCTCTATACATTCAAGGCCACCCTGGGCTACAAGATTTATCCAGTATAAAAGAGAGTGAGAGCCAGGTGGTGGTGGATCAAACTTTTAATCCCAGTACATTGGAGTCACACACCTTTAATTCCAACACTACGGAGGTAGAGAAAGGAAGGGATATGGCTGGACAGAGAGGAAGGAATATAAAACAAGAGGAGACAGGAGCTTAGCATATTCAGTCTGTAAACTTATAGAGACAGGATACCCCAGTCATTCTGAGGATTTTGTAGAGATAAGAACTCATGGCTGGCTGCTCTGTTTCTCTGACCTTTCAATTTTCACCTCATAATATCTGACTCTGGGTTTTTATTATTAAAACCAATTAGAATTCATACTACAGGGAGCCTTCCTTGATCAGTGCTTTGAGAATGCCTAGTAATAGATGTCATTATAGTGAAGTATGTGTGAGTAAGCATTTATATCACTAGAAAATAAATTGGAGAAATGGATAGGGCCATGGCTGTTCATTATATAACACCCTTACTTTGATAAATATCTCATAGATCCTGTAGGATTATTTTATATCTTTCAATAACAATGCCTTCAATGATGTCAAGATATCTCACCCAGGCACCACTTTTTACTTCTTTTTTCTTTTTGGCTTTGTTTCATTTGGTTTTGTTTTGAGACAAGGTCTCTATATGTAGTCCTGAGTGTCTTAAATCTTGCAATGTAGATCAGGCTGAACCTGAACTCACAGTGATTCACCTACCCCTGTCTCTCATGTGCTGGCATTATAGAAGTACACCACCACTTCCCACTTAGGCCCAATTTTTAAAGGTGTCCAAAACCTTGAAACATCACCATACCAGGAACAAAGTTTCTAAGATATGAACACTTGAGGAAAAATTCCTCATTCAACACACAGAATTATAGGAGGAAGATGCTTATTTGTTTTCTGGCTGTCCAGACTCCCGAAATAATCACACAGAAACTGTATTAATTAAATCAATGCTTGACCCATTAGCTCTAGCTTCTTATTGGCTAACTCTTACATATTAATTTAACCCATTTCTATTAATCTGTGTAATGCCACATGGCTGTGGCTTACCAGGTAGAGTGCTGTCTGACTCCAGCGCAGCTACATAACTTATCTCTGACTTAGCCCTTCTTTCTCCCAGCATTCAGTCCAGTCTTCTCCACCTACCTAAGTTCTGCCCTGCTATAGGTCCAAAGCAGTTTTCTTTATTAATCAATTGTAATCAGAGAATACAGAGGAAAATCCCACATCACTGAATTGATGGACTTTTAGAAATTATTTAACTTCCGTAAGCAACAATTAACATATTTGTTCAATGAAGTTGATACTTTGGCCTATTACAACCATGTCTACTTTGATGCAACCTAAATGAATGTATTAACTAATAAAAAGTTTTAATTTAGGAATATAATTTTGTAAAAAGTACAATAAATTGAACTTTCCTCAGATTCTTGCTTTCCATGTTTTCAGTGACCTGAAAATGTGAAGTTGAAACTACATGAATAATGAATAAACACTAAATTCTAATTTGCATATAATTTTGAGTAATGTGATAAAATCTAAAAAAAAAAATACAACCTCACAGTCTCAATTCTCACTGAGAAGTGTATGAATCCTCTCTCCAGTATAATCACAGTGTTCACAACCACTCCACCCCATTTCAACCTGTTTTTTCCTGCAACCATACTTACCTACTTTCAAATCCCCCAACAAAATTGATTTGATTTACCCTTCCCAGGGAGTTATATCATCTTCCCTAGAGCCATCCTCTTTACCTAACCTCTCTGGGCCTGTGGAGTTTAGCTTGATTATCATTTAATTAAAAACTAATATCTACTTATAACTGAATACATACCATATCTTTTTCCCTGAGTCTAGGTTACTTCACTCAGGATGAATTTTTCCAGATCGAATTGCCTGAAATGTGGAGTTGCTAAAAATCTTTTCCCATTCTATAGGCTACCACTTCTATAGGCTGACACTGACTGTGTCTTTTGCCTTTTAGAAGCTTTTCAGTTTCACAAGATCCTAATTATTAATTGTTGATCTTAGTGCCTCTGCTACTTGTGTTCAATTCAGGAATTGTCACCTGTGCCAATTCATTTAAGATATTCTTCTATAAGGTTGATAACTTTCTGTTGAGGTCTTTGATTCACTGGGACAAGAATTTTACGCAAAGTGATGAATTTGTATCTATTTTCATTCTTCTTCAAGCCTAGTAATAATAGGAATAGAAGCAGGAGAAGAAACCTAGCTTAAAGGCCCAAACAATATTTTCAACAAATTCATAGAAGGAAATTTTCCTAATACAAAAAATAGAGATGCCTGCCGGGTGGTGGTGGTTCACGCCTTTAATCCCAGCACTCAGGAGGCAGAGGCAGGCAGATCTCTGTGAGTTCGAGGTCAGCCTGGTCTACAAGAGCTAGTTCCAGGACAAGAACCAAAAAGCTACGGAGAAACCCTGTCTCAAAAAAAAAAATCAAAAAAAAAATAGAGATGCCTATAAAGGTACAAGAAGGATACAGAACTTCAAATAGTTTGGAGCAGAAAAGAAATCCCATCACTACATAATAATAAAAATACTAATCCTACAGAATAAAGAAAGAATATTAAAAGGTACAAAGGAAAAAGACCAAGTAATGTATAAAGGCAGACCTATTAGAATTACATCTGACTTCTTAATGGAGACAAAAGGCAAAAGGGCTTTGGTAGATGTGTTGCAGACACTGAGAGACGACAGATAATAAAAATACTAATCATACACAATAAAGAAAGATTATTAAAAGGTACAAAGGAAAAAGACCAAGTAACATATAAAAGGAGACATACTAAAATTACACCTGACTTCTCAATGGAGAATAAAAGGCTGAAGGGTTTTGGCAGATGTGTTGCAGACTCTGAGAGACTACAGATGCCAGTCCAGGTTAATAAACCCAGAGAAAATAAGATATTCATGATGAAGTCAAATTTAAACAGTGTATGTTTATAAATCCAGGCTACAGAAAGTACTGGAAAGAAAAATTTAAACCAAGAAGGTTAACTACAAACATGAAACCTTGGGAGATAATAAATTTCACACCAGCAAAACCAAAGCAATTGCCCACACACTACTATCACCACCTAATTAACAGGAGTTAATTATCATTAGTCATTAATATCTCTCAATATCAATTGTCCCAACTCCCAAATAAAGAGACAAATTAACAGAATGGGAAGGAAAATAGGATCCATCCTCCTGCATAAAAGAAACACACCTCAATGTCATGACTAGGCATTACCTCATAGTTAAGGTATAGAGATATTCTAAGCAAACGTACCTAAGAAGCAAGTTGGTGTAGACATGTTAATTTCTAATAAAATAGACATTAAAACAAAATTAATCAAAAACATGGGGATGAATACTACATATTAAATAAAAGAAAAATCCACCAGGATGACATTTCAATTCTTAACATCTATGTCCCAAACACAAGGATGCCCACTTTTGTAGAAGAAACACCACCACAGCTTAAATCACATACCTATCCTCACACACTGACTGTGGAAGAATTCAATACTCCACACTCACCAATGTACAATTTATCTAGACAAAACTAAAAGGAGCAATTCTGGAGATAATAGATGTTAAAAACCAATAGACCTAACCAATATTATAGAAATTTCCACTTAAACAAAGAATAAATACCTTCTTCTCAGCACCTCACTGAACACTCTCCAAAATTGACCACATACTTGGACACAAAGCAGGTCTCAACAGAATGAGTAAAAATGAAATAACTCTCTTCAGATTAGGAGAATTAAATAATGAAATAAGCATATAACAGCATTTAATAAGCTTCTTGTACATAGTAAGAGCTCAATAAATGACAATTGATATTAATGTTTCTTACTAAAATTAGACCTAAATAAAGCCTGAAGTCATAAATGATAGAATATATCAAACAAACATGATACATTACAGTTTATCCCTGACAGACACATACAATTAAATTGATTTTTAAAAATAATTTATCTATAGTTCATTCTAAGTTGTACATGGAACTACATCTGGCTTTTACCCTTTACCTCCGATATTCAAAACAGTTACGTGAAACTAAAATTTACTCTAGGTGAGTGACTGATAATACATACAATTACACATTTGTATGAAAATTCATATGATGCATGAAATCCTAATTTAGACAATCTTGCCATTGGAAATAATGTTAGTAAAATTGAAACATAGAAATTGATTACTCTTTTCTTATAAAAGAAATGAAATTATATAAATAATTTTATCAGAGCTCAAAAGCCATACTATTAAAACTAAGAAAATACCCAAACTAAGATAGGTTATTTTCTTTTTCATATCCCCTTTTTATTCACTGTTATGTGTACATATATATTATAGCATGTGTATTTATGTATATAAATAAATTTTCTTAGACTATATATCTTTACTTATATATATTTTTCAGAGATCAACATTTTGTATTGCATAAACAATGTGTGTACTCTTTCCTGGGTAGACTTTTTCCCCAACTCTCAACATTCCTTATTGGCCTACTGTTCTTTGTGTATAGTTGAGGCATTGTGAGCTTCCCCACTTCCATGTTACAATTTTTATTGGCGTTTTCCTTCTTTGCCTCATGTTTAGGCTGCTATGTTGGTAAAACTTTATGGGTGAACTTTGTATGGATACCTTGATGGTAATGAAAAGACCTCTACTTGCACTTAAGACTTGCTCAACATGAAGGAAATCACTCCTGTTATTGGAAACTACTCAGAACTAGTGAAGCCATGGATCTTGGACAAGAACCTACACCTGCCACTTTACTAAAAGTATAATCCCTAACTACATCCTAAAAGAAGCTATTGGCCGCGGAAAGTTAAGTTTGAAGAGGGGGGACGAGGGAAACATGGACATGAAGAAGAGGATCCACCTGGAGCTGAGGAACCGGACCCCGGCAGCAGTTCGAGAACTTGTCTTGGACAATTGCAAAGCGAACGATGGAAAAATCGAGGGGTTAACGGATGAATTTGTGAACCTAGAGTTCCTCAGTTTAATAAGCGTAGGCTTGTTTTCGGTTTCAGATCTCCCCAAGCTACCGAAATTGAAAAAGCTTGAGCTCAGCGATAATAGAATCTTTGGAGGTCTGGACAGACTAGCAGAAGAACTTCCAAGCCTCACACATCTGAACCTAAGTGGAAATAAGCTGAAAGATATCAGCACCTTGGAACCTTTGAAAAAATTGGATTGTCTGAAAAGCCTGGATCTCTTTGGCTGTGAGGTCACTAACCTGAACGATTACCGAGAGAGTGTCTTCAAACTCCTGCCCCAGCTGTCCTATCTGGACGGCTATGACCGAGAGGACCAGGAAGCACCTGACTCCGATGTGGAGGTGGATGGTGTAGAGGAAGCCCCCAACTCAGATGCAGAGGTGGATGGTGTGGACAAAGAAGAAGAGGATGAAGAAGGAGAAGATGAAGATGAAGAGGAAGATGAGGACGGTGAAGAGGAAGAGGATGATGAAGAAGAGGATGAAGATGAAGACGAGGATGTAGAAGGAGAAGATGATGAAGATGAAGACGAGGATGTAGAAGGAGAAGATGATGAAGATGAAGTCAGTGGGGAGGAAGAAGAATTTGGACATGATGGTGAAGTTGATGAAGATTGATGAAGATGAAGAAGATGAGGATGAAGAGGAGGAAGAAACTGGGAAAGGTGAAAAGAGAAAGAGGGAAACAGACGATGAAGGAGAAGATGATTGAGACCCGAAACAATCTGCAAGAACCAGAACTGTTGAGTATTGGTTGGACTGCTCATGGATTTGGTAGCTGTTTAAAAAGGTAGCTGTGATACGACCCCAGGACACCCCACCCAAAGAGCCAAAGAATAGTTCCCAAGACATTCAGCCTTCCTCCGTTTAGCCCCTTGGTCATCCACCACCAAGCCTGGGGATTTCTGCCCCAACAAAATTGTAAACGTTGTTAGGTTTTCGTGTAAGACTCTTGCTGTATCGTGACAGCTGTGATTGGTGAGTTGACCGTCCTGGCTGCCAGTTACACTGCAATTGTAACAACATTTTTACTTTCTGTACAACAAGGAAAAGCTTTGTAAATAAAATCTTAACATTTTGAAAAAAAAAGCTATTTTCAAAATGTAAGAAATGTTTGTATTATATTTATCCACTATTGATTACTTTCTACATAGTAAGTATGAGTCTTGATCATTAAACAATAACAATCAAATTACTAATTACTATGCTTGAAAATAAAGAATATTAATTGATATTATTTATTTCTTTATCCACTATTCAAGAAATATTCACAATGCATACTTAAATATATATTAAAGGAAGATAAATTTCACTGAAAAATCACAGCAAACACTGCTCTCTGAAAACTATATTGGGCATGGCTCATCGGTCAATCAGCTTTGCATTGTTGTGACAAAATACTAGAGGACAACTTATAAAAAGAAAAGGCTGATTTGGACTCCTAGACTCAGAGATTTCCACTCTTGCTGTCATTGCTTGACTCTTTTGCTTCCTTTACTCAGGTGAAGCCGAGGTTTCAATGAGGAGCACAAGGAGGGAGAACATGAGCAAGGAAATCAGGACCACGAAGGGTGCACCCACCCACTGAGACAGTGGGGCTGATCTATTGGGAGCTCACCAAGGCCAGCTGGATGTGACTGAGAAAGCATGGGATAAAACCGGACTCTCTGAACATGGTGGACAATGAGGGCTGATGAGAAGCCAAGGACAATGGCACGGGGTTTTGATCCTACTTCATGTTCTGGTTTTGTGGGAGCCTAGCCAGTTTGGATGTTCACCTTCCTAGGCATGGACGGAGGGGGGAGGACCTTGGACTTTCCACAGGGCAGGGAACCCTGACTGCTCTTTGGACTGGAGAGGGAGGAGGAGAGGAATGGGAGGAGGGGGAGAAGGGTGAGAGGAGAGGGAGGGAAATGGGAGGCTGGGAGGATGCGGAACCTTTATTTTTTTCCTTTTCTCAATAAAAAAAAAGTAAAAAAAAATATACAGACAAAATGTCAAATGTTCTGAAAAATAAACAAGAAAGCAAAGAATCATGAAAAGTTCTCATTTGAGATCACAGAAAAATACATGCACATATATATTTACTTTAAAATGAGCATAAATAATATGTATATTGATGAAGATGAGATATTGTAACTAGGAGAAAAATTTACAACTCCTCTATTAAATATGTTTTAACAGTAAAAAAAGCTAAAAATCAGAACAAAATGGGGATACTACAAAACAGAATTATTAAAAAAAAAAGAACCAAGCAAATTCTCCAAATGAAATGTTCACTAACAGGAAATTTAAATTTGCATGTTGTCAAAAATTAGATGTGAACAGACAAAAGAATCATGAGATTTGAATAGGAAAAATGGAAGTTAATATGTCTAGAAAGCAGAAAAAAATGATGTATAAAGACAAATGAACATAGCCCAAATATGTGTATGATATTCAAATGGCCCAGTGGAGCACTATTATAATCCAGAAGAACAGATGATAAGGCAGGGAGCTTATATGAAGAAATGATAACCAAACTCTGGTGCACACAATTTCATAAAACCTTAACTACTAGCATTAAAGACACCAAATTAACACCAACCTAACAATAGAAGTGACTTTAATACCTCACTTTTCTCCAAAAGACAGCTTGTCTATACACTAATTGCAGAAAAAACAGCAGCATTTACCAACATCATACATCAAGTGGCCCTAACAGATATCCAGAGAATATTTCACCCTAACAACAAAAATGCATTCTACTCAGCAGCATATGGAATCTTAACTAAAAAGAACACTATAAAACACAAAATTTATATTAACAAATTTAGAAACAATGGGAAAAAAATTATGCATCCTGTATTATTAAAACGAAATAAAACTTAAAATTAAAATCAAACAAATATCTCATAAGTACAAACATTCATAGAGACTGAATATCTCAATGCTGAATTATGAATGGGCCACAAAAGCAATCCAAAAAAAAATTCTTGAAATTAAGCAATAATTAAAATAAAACAGAAAACAAAACCCTATAGGACACATTAAAAGCAGTCCTGTCAGGGAAATTTATTGCTAAGTTCCTTCATTAAAAAAATAAGAAAGCACAAATAAATGATTTAATGCTTAGAATATAAAAAATAATAAACCAAATCCAAGTCTAGTGGCAAAATGTCATAAAATGCAGGCCAAAGATTAATGAAATAGAAACAGCAATAACAAAATGTACAAAGAAATAATTAATCTAAGAGCTGCTTTTTAGGGAAGACAAACAAGAGACAACCTTGTCTCAATTAAACACAGGAAGAAAGAGATTATCTAAATGAACTAAATCAGAGATGAGCAATAAAACATTACAATAGACACCAAATAAATTCAGATCCTTATAAGAGAATACTGTAAAAACGGAACACTATTAAGTTGACAAATCTAAAAGAAGGGTATTAAATTTTAGATTCATCCAAACCACAAAAGTTAAGACAAGGATAGATCAGCAATCTAAATAGATCCATAACATATACAGAGGATAAAACAACTATTAAAATGCCTTCTAATAAAAAAACAAGCCCTGGCCCAGATGATTTCAAAAGAGACATCCACAAAACTTTTAAAGAAGATCTACAGTCAATCTTTCTTAATTTGTACTAAATAAATAAATAACAGAATAAGTAGATGAAACAGAAGGATCACAACCAAACTTCTTCAGAATGTAGTGTTATTTCTAATAATCAAATTGGTAAAGACATAAACAACATAAGAAAGAAATCACAGACCAAAATCTCTGATAAACATAAATTCATAAATTTCCAAAAAAGTACTTGCAAATGGAATGCATACATGCATCAAAAGATTATCTATCATAATCTTGAGTTGATATCATTCTAGAGAAATGGTTCAACATACATATGTCAATAAGTTTAATAAATTATATAAGTTATCTTAAAGACAAATCCATATCAACGGATGTATTAAAAGTTTGACAAAATCCAATATACATCCATTATAAGAGTCATAAGGAAAGTTGGTCTGGAGAACATATCTTAATGTATAAAAACATACAAGATACTGCAATCAATATCATCTTTTTTTTATTTTTTTTAAATTACCGCCTCCTCCCCGTTTCCCATTTCCGTCCCCCTCCTCCCACACATCTCCCCCTCCCCCCCCACTCCATTTCCCCTCCCTCTCGAGAATGATGAGCAGTCC